AAAAAAAAAAAAAACACATCATAGTAAAACCAATACCTTCTCAGCTTCGCATCGAAGCTAAAAAATTATGAGATTGAAGATTTAATGTGCTATTATGAAAAATGGTTTGCCTTTAATAAGTTTTTTTTTGGAATTATGCTATATTAATAACTATTTTCAAATATACTTAATGTTTACTTAAAACATTAGGTTACATACTTTTCATACCATAGACCACTCTAAAATAATTTACATATAAAAGCTATACATCAAGTGATATCTTTTTTAAAATAAAACTGATTAGGACTGAGATTATAAACAATAAAATATTGTAAACCAAAAATAAATTTTTCTGTCGTAAATAAATAATTTATTTGTTGATACATTTGGGGTATTTAAATTTAAAGTTATTAAAAGTTAAAGAAAATTTCTAGGATGAAATCAATCATCTAATCCTTTGAAGAAAAATACAATACTACAATGTATGTATTACTTACCTTACTAAAATAACCAACAATATGACAACCATCCTCATCATTTGTTGTCATAATATAGAATAAAAAAGGCTCAACATCATAGTACAATGTCTTATGATCTAAGAAAAATTTGGCTAGTAAACACAAATTTTGACAAAATATTTTGAACCTTTTGCCATCCACTTCCCAGACAGAAATTTTGTCCTTTCTAATAAATAAATAAAAATATATTTTAACTATCTGTTGTATTTTTTGAATATAATCATATCTTTATAGACTATTTTTGTCCATTATCAAACATTACCAAATTTAAAGATTTTATTATTTATTTAATTAAAAATCTAACTATGGTTCTGAGTGGAAATTACCGATAAACTTCATCACCAGGAGGATGTTTCCAAACACATTTTAGTTTGTGCCTAAACAACACTGTTTTACTTTTCATGTAATGTAAACAGAATTCACATAAATATAATTTAGGCACTTGAGTATATTCTTCTGGATATGGGCTTTGATACCAAACTTCCATTTCATATTTTCCCATTTCTAAGTACTTGGTACCTTTAAAATTTGGTAATTGTTTCAAATCTTCTTCCTATAAACAATAAAACATTAAATTAAATTAATCAACTTTAGAACATTGTTTGGTGTAATGGATACACTAGGTATTGATAATTTCTAATGTAAAGCCGTGTCTGCAACTGTAGACGTAAGGATGTATGGCCATACTGGCTTTTTTACAGTGATAAAAATCTCTACATCACCAATGCAGAAGTAAAGAGGAAAACATTGCATTTAATTATTTTTCTAATAAAAGCTCAAGTTAAACTATAAAATCAAAACTACAGTAATTATAGAAATAATTGACAAGAATACATATTTAATGGCACTAAAACAGTAACGAACAGATATATGTATAGAAAGACGCAGATAAAATATTGAGTTGAGAAGTTTTTTAAATATCTCTAATATTATAAAAAATTCAAGGGAACCTATAACCACACAATGTTTTTTTAATAACTCTTAAAAATTATTATTATTTTCTGATTATTTTATAATTGTTAACAACAGTTCTAATAAATTTTCAACAATGAATATAAGAATGGCTATAACTTTCTAACTAGTTTATAATAAAAGAATTAAAATAACAATGACTTTCCTCAAGTTTTTAAAAAAAGTGTAATGAGCATAAAACCATTTATGATAAAAAATGTATAATGTTAATGTTAATTTAAGGATTTCTTCCAAGATTTAAAGTTTAAACTTACTACAAAAATATTAAAGTAATAAATTTTATTCATAGAAAAATTCCCATACAATTTACCACTTGCTTAATTTAGCTAAGGATTAAAAATTCAAATTATTTTTAAAAATTGTCAATCTGGTGATAGTAAAATTAATAAATTTCAATTTAAAGTATGTTTAATACACAAAGGGTTCAATAGGGCTACAGACCTATTATTGGGTGTCACATAATATTCATTATTAACAGTGTATCATTTTAGCTCTAGTTATGAAATGTACATAAGTATATAATAGAAATTCATAATAATTGAAAAATGCTTGATAAAAATTAATTAAACATGCATCATACTGTAGAAGTTATAAAGTATTAGTAATTTACCAAATGCTGGTTCAAAATTAATTATTGATCAGTTATTTTATAACAAAACTCATCGAAATTGGGTCATGGAATGATTATGACATTTTTTTTATTGTTTCTAAGATTTTATTTAATGCTGATTCTGAATATGCCTATAGTTGACATAACCATAAAATTGAGAATGACTTAAAAAGTAAAATAAATTGCAATATAAAATAAAGACATTTTTTTTTTTTAATAAAAGTCTCTAAACATAATTAAATTTAAAATTTAGCTATTATTCAACTATTAGTGAAACAATAAACAATATTTTACTATTTTATGAATCTTCATATTTTCTTATGTTATTATAAATAATAATTACAACTAGTATACTAATAGCTAAAGTATTGATGATAGAGAAAACTATGGACATATTCAGAATCAGCATTAAAAAAAATCTCTCCGAAACAATAAAAAAAAAAAATGTGATAATCATTTCATGACCAAATTTTGCTAAGTTGTGTAATTTAAGTCGATTAAATATCCATATTTTCATCTAAGAAAAAACAAATTGATAAAATTTTAAAGGGAAAGAAGAGGGTCAGGGTTCAATTTGTTTAAAATTTTTAACACAAGTTAAAAACAATATTTTAAAAAGAAAAAAATGTATAATTTTTTTGATATAATAAGAAATATAGTAATTCCCTTATAAAAAAATGGGTTTCCAACAAACTTAAATTAATTATTTTTTTCTTAAATAAAAGATTTATAGATGAATTACTAAAAAACTAACAATTTTTTCACTGGCAACTGATTGAGCTTCTTGGAATAGTTTGAAGTCATATAAAGGTATGTTTGTACATTTTGAAATGTCAGGTTCCAATTCTTTACCAATATATTGATCACTATTGGAAGTATCACTACTTGTATCATTTTTTCTGTCCTCAATTTTTTCCCTTAGTTCTTTCACTTTATCCCTGTAAAGTTTTTGTTCAACAGAATTGGGTTTTGAGGCAGATTTTAAACGTTCTTCATTTTTTTTTAGATGCTCTGACAGCATATCCTAAATTTTGAACAAAAAATAACACATTTTAATAAAAACTTTATAATAACATGAAAAAAAAAAAAAAAATTACATGGCATTGTTTCATTGTTAGTCTATGATACATTGGACAAGCTTCAGAAGTAAAATGGCGTTCGTATAAACCATTCATATGTCCTAGGGAATCACAACCATTTACAGGACATAAACGCTCTTCCAATTCAATAAGACCACTATTTACCCTTTTATCAATACAATTTAAAGGTTTTCGATTTTTATCTCTGGCTTTTTTTGTAGGTGACTTACAACTAGTGCTAGTAGATTTACTTCCTATAAAGAATATTATTTAAGTGTAGAAAAAAATTAATACTTCTATATTTATACTAAAATATTAATTACCAGTATCAGAGTCTGAGTCAGTAGCTGTTGTAGTTCTGTGGCTTGCAGCTAACATACGACTTACCCTTGTTGTACCTCTTGTGGAAACCGGTTTTTTGTCATGTCCTGAGCCATTTTTTGCAGTTTCAGGTATTGGATATTTTCGAGGCCGTCCTCGACCTCTTGATACTTTTCCACTAGATGATGATTCTGTAGCACTGGTAGTAACTTTAGGGGTTGTTTGAGGAGGTTTATTTAATGGTTTTTTTTTATCAGGTGAAATATTTTTAGATTTTTTGTCTGATGACGAATCTGAATCTGAGGATTCTAAAAACATTTTTTTAATAAATAAGATGCAATTAAAATTAAAATTTCCTTACCAGAACTTGCTGATGTTAGAGTAGAGGTCTTGTGAGATGGTGAATTTTTCTTTAATGTTGCCATTGCTTTAGGTCTTGGTTTTACTAATGCTTTTTGTGTTGCAGCACTTTTCATTGGAGTAAGCTTTGGAGGAGGAGGATCACTATCACTACTATTGACTTTATCTGGACTGAATATACTTTTTGATTTTGCTTCGTGTTTTTTTGTCCCATCAGTAATAGCAGTAGCCTTAGAACGTGGTCCTTGACTACGTTTAACATCAGTTTTTTTTGCTTTGTCTTGTGGCTTTAAAACAGCTGCAACAGTTGCAGTAGACTTTGGCTTAATAGGAGGAAATTTTCTTTTTGATTTTGATTCAGCATCTGTATCTGAATCAGTATATATAGCAGCTGTTAATTTTGGTGCTGTTGTATTAGTTTTTGTTTTAGTTTTTTCTGGTGAGACGTGTTTTTTAGCCAATTCAGATACTTTAGGTTCTGACGATGTTGAAGTTTTTTTCCTGGGAGACTTTTTTAGTTTTTCTGATTCAGTAGAATTACCCTCAGTGGTAGAAGAATTTTCAGTATCAGATGAACTTGATGAATCAGAGCCAGATGTTGTTGATGATGAGCTACTAGAGCTAGAACTTGAATCTGTACTCGAGGCTAATTCTTTATGTGTTGCTGATTTAGGTGGTGTTGATGACTTATTTGAAGAAGATCCAACCTCCTAAAACAATAATTCAATTTTAATATATAAAATATAAAAAAAAGAGTGAAAATTTCTATAAAATAGATAAATCAACTTAAAAAGAGTAACATACTGAAATGACAATTTTATCTACTAAAAAATATAAAATATATAAATAAATATTAACCGATAAATTATAAGAATGAGAGTATTTAAAAAAAACAATAAATAAAAAGTTATAAGATATACCTTATTCAAATAATTTTCATTTCTTTCCTAGGAAAAAAACTTTAAATAAATAATAAAAGCAATAATATCAAGATTAACAGTTATATACATAATGTTCTTACCTTCTTCTTAATTGTCATATTGGTGGCCTATTCTCTAAAATGCAAAATTAAAATAATATTGATGAAAAACAATTAAGACAATTAACAGTCACCAAAATATTATATTTTTGATCAACAATTCTTATCTGTTTGTAAACAGTTGATGAGTGGGGTAACAATACGATATTGAATTGGCGCGAATACAGTGCAGCCCTAATGAAAATACTAAATATTTTTGAAATATCTACAAAACTGTCAATTCTTATACAGATATCAAATAAATGATGACTATTTTATGTTTATCATCAGTAGCCTATGCAAGGATAGGGTTCTAAAATTTTATCCCATTTAGATCAGCTAAGAGAGTGATGAATCCTCTATGAGTTTGTTGTCAACCTCTAGTGAAAATCCTATTTGAACTAAAATTCTGCATATTATTTATCTTTATAGAAATTTATAACAATTTTTTTAACCCAGAGAATAAGTATACTTATTCATTATTCTTATTATAAATTTTATAGTAATACTTCCCAACATAATTTTATTCAAATTTACGCCTAGGGTAAAGGTTCAGAATAGATAAAATTATTCTGTGACACCATAGACATACACCTATTAACAAGATAATATGATCACATCTTATCTGTCGTTTTATCTTATCTGTTATATGTCTTTACTTGGCACGCTAACTTGTTTTTGGCAATCGTTTTTTGATATATCATAAGCAGTTAAAAAAATTAAATTTGTATTTTATTTTTGAATTAACTTTTTTTAATCTATCTATCATTAATCTATCAAAATATACAAATCAGCTTGTTTTGTCATGTTATTATTTTAATATATAATGTTCTAATTTATTAAATCAGATAAAACCTTTTTTTTTGTACTTTCTAGTTTCAATTAAAAATTTAAATAAATTAATAAGTTAAATTAATCCACACTGTAGGGACTTCAATAAATCTTAATTCAGTCCAGGTCATTATACAGAAATAAACTAGGTAAAGAAAATATAATAAGTATACACATAAACTTAATATAAATTGTTGTTACTGATATTTTCATTAATTTGAAGACGTTCAAAAGTTCTTGTTTTCTTAATAAAAAATGTTTACATTATATATGTGTTTTGTTGCTAGTTTCAATGATTGTTAATAAGTTTTGTTAAATAACATAAAATAATCAAAAAACATATGATTATACAATGTTGATTAGAGATGCATTAAGAAATTTCACTCCTTTGATAATGAAGAAAAAATGCCTCCCTTAACTAAAATTCTTCTTGGCAACATTTATTATAGTAAAACCAAAAAATCTTTTGTTATTTTTAAGATCTAAAAACATCTAAAGTATACATAGTAATAAAAGTACATTCACTCGTAGAAATTAGAGTAATAGTTTTTTTTGATGAGAAGTTTTGTAAAAAGCAATGCCCCATTATACTTAGATAAATTTTTCATTTTATTTATTCGGTGCATCTTTTAATGTTTGAATATTATAATTAAATTTAATGTATAGACTACTTAAATTAAAAAAGCATTAAACATTCTATCAAAAATTATTCTTAAATATTTTTTATTTTTAAATAAGTTTTTTTATAAAAATTCCAAAACAAAAAGAACATAAATATATCTTGTGGCAAAACAAAACATAGGAATGATTTTGGATAGGAGCAATCTTTAGCTAATAATGCCATAAATCCATTGACAGCTGTTATCACAAATTGAATCTGTAAAAAAAAAAAAGTTAATTTAATATGTTGGTGCTAAATAACAAAGAAAATGGGTGTTTCCATCATTAAAATCTCTCACTTAGTCACTCTAAAATCAAGTCAAAATGATAAATCCCAAATATATTATAACATAGAGTAATTGTTTTTCTAAGCAGTTTACTCTATATAAGTATATAATAAAATATATTACCAATTGAAGTTGAGTTAAGTATTTTTTCCACCACGCTTTTTTGTATTCTGGTTTCAATACAGTTAAAAAGTAGTAGCTATACATTATTGCATGCACGAACGCATTAATTGTTCCAAACAACGCTAATTGCCCTCCTATATTAATAATTACAAGGATAAGTTGATTATATAAATAAAAGTAAATATTAATTTTGATAAATTATCAACAATTTTCTAACAATAGGCAATTTTTTAAATAGAGATGAGCAAAAAAAATTGTTGATAATTTTATTGATAAGAAATCTTAGTATGTTACTGCACTCAATGCTATTTGTTAGTTGTTATACTTCAAAAACACTTATTTAACGAACTTTTAGCATCAGATAATATTACTTTATAAATTCAATTTTTTTTTTACAAAAAATGTAACTATTGAAGTTTTATTTATTTGAATTAAGAATCCTATCCAAACTATTAGTATGAAAAGGGTTTAGATTGGAAATACCAGATTATTTTATTCTTTTTTGAAAAATGGTTATATTTCATTAAGATTTAATCTTTGGAGTAATAAATTATCAATAATACCTGGATAAAATTTCACAAAGATCCATCCAAAAGTCAGTACCATACCATGATGATAAACATGTAAAAATGTGACTTGATTTTGTTTTTTTCGTAAGACGAAGAATATCTTATACAAAATAAAAATTGTTTTATTTATTGTTGTTATTCAATTTAACTAGATTAATACAAGTTTTAATACCGTATCAAGTAAATCCAAAACCTTCGAAATAAAATATAACCAAACGACGAAAATTCTCTGAAAGCATAATATTATCATATTAATTAGTAGTTATTGAGTAATAATCAGGCTCCCACTTAAAGTTAGAGAATCCCTGTACTTGACCAAAGACTTTATAGTTATATAAATATATAAATGTATATATATTAGATATTATTATATACAGAGTGATTTTTTTATAATAACCCACTCAATTACTTACAGAATAAACATAATTTAAACATTTTTTTTTTTTTTTGGTTATCTTTAGTTACACTTTATTCTTGAATAATTAACTATTTAAAACTTTTTATGTTTATCCCTTATGCCTTGTAAGAGTGTCAACTTAGTTTTTTAAATGGGAACACATATTTTGAATTAAATAAAATGTTTGGATTTTTAATTCAATAGTAAATGGGATTTGAATTTTTAATATAACTTTATTAGTTTATTAGATATAAACATTTAAAGTTTCAAATTTTTAGGTTAATCTACATGTATAATACACAAGGGATTATAAATACAGGTAGCTAATTGGATTTTTATGATATTGCTGTCACAGTTACCGATTGTTTATTATTAATTATGACTATCAATAGATATACTTTCTGTATTGTCAGTTAGTGTGTTAATAAACTCATAACAATATGCTTTACTACCATTGATAATAACAATGCTGTGTACTTGCTAATATCGATGTCATAAAAAACCAATTCGCTACCTGTATTTGTAATCCCTTGTGTATTATACATGACTATTAACTCAAAAATTTGAAACTTTAAGTGTTTATATCTAATAAACTAATAAAGTTATACTAAAAATTCAAATGCCATTTACTATTAAATTAAAAACTCAAACATTTTATTAAATTTAAAATATGTGTTCCCATTAAAAAAAACAAAGTTGACACCCTTACAAGGCATAAGGAATGAACATAAAAAGTTTTAAATAGTTAATAATTCAAAAATAATGTGTAACTAAAGAAAACCAAAAAAAACAATGTTTACATTATTATTACTCTGTAAGTAATTGAGTGGGTTATGATAAAAAAATCACCCTGTAAATATATATTTCAAATTAAAAGATTATGAGTAAAAAAAGTTATTAAAATATGTTTTGAGGACCCTGTAGTGTTATGATTTTACTGGTCACCTTTATGGAGACCCTGGTAATAATAAATATAATAATTGTATTTCTAAAACATTAATATAAATATTACATCTTTGCTTATATCAGTATAGCTGTAATCCATTTCTATGCAATTAAATCTGTAGTCATTTTGAAACCAGTACAGCCGAAATGCCTGAACATTTAAAATACATTGTAAAATTAAAAAATATACATTGAGCATTCACACAAAAAATATAGGAGTTAACTACATTTCATGATGTTAGACAGTCACGGATCGGTGAATCTTTTCGAGTTGGTGTTATCTACATTGGACCGTTGAATTGAATATATTTTGTAATACATGGGAACATTTAAAAAAAAAATTATAATAAGAGTATAAAGCCTCTTAGTTTAAATGGTTACGGGTTTAAAATAATTTATACACGAGTAGTAATTGACCAATACGTTTTTGTCGTCTTTAGATATAGACAGTGTAGTTATTTCAACACTTAAAAATACAAAATTTTAAGGCGATTAATTATCAATTAAAAGTTAACAGCTTAACTATACAGTTAACCATTTAAATGTTATAATTAATAACTTTTGATCCAGTCAATATTTCGCTCTTTATTATTATAGAATCATTCTCTAAATACGGTCCTGTTTTTTAAAAAGTACCAAATCAATCAATCAATTATAAAGAAATTTTTCAGTTCCTATATCCTGTAAACCTTAAGTATTTGTACATAATATACTTTTTATTAATAGTAAACTTACTTCTTTAACCAAATAAGTTGAGTATAGGACTTGAACAATGTTATAAATCATAACAATTCTATCAATATTGAAAGGTTTCCGGTTTTTCATAATACTGGGACCCAATTTGAGTACAAAATATAAATAGGCGATCAATATCAAGAGTACCGGCCACATTGAACTCATCAGCCAATATTGTGTGATTCGTGTATCTAAAAAAATTGGTATTAAGTAAATATGTAATGGAAAAAAAAAACAAATTTATAATTTTAATTTTGAAAAATAATATAAATAATTCGCAGATTTCAACATTTTTAAAGTCATTTTTGTTTAAAAAACAAACCATAAAAAAATGATAAAGCTTATATTACTATTTTTAATTATAGACAAAACGAGAGGAAATTCTAGGAGTACTTATCTTTCCCTCTAATAGAGATTAATGTTTCTAAAAAATTATTTATGTTGTTATAATATATTTCTTCGAGAAAAAAAATAAAATTTAACTACCTTTGTCAAAAAAAAAAAATTGTTTTTGTTGTGATTATATGTCTTAACGTAACAAATTAAATAATCTTACCTCCATGATCGTTTATCCATTTATCTAAGTTATAAAAACTGAAGGCGATCATCTATATATATAAAAAAAAATTACTTATTATTTCATGTAGACAAAATATTTTTAATATCTATTTCTCTGATATAAAATTACTTTCTATGAATGTTAATGTTAATGTTTTGATAATGTTTCACGATTAATCTTCCATGAATTAAAATTTAAGTGTTAATGTTCCCAATCTAAAATGTATGTATGCGATCTTTATAATATAAAATAAAAGTAAAATACATAATATAAATAATATATGAAATACTATACTACTGAGCACTTCAAAATGTGGTCATAGATCTATATTTTAACGTTTTGGAAGTTGCTTAATGCTTTATAACCCTTTTATGTAAAACTCGTGTATTTATAGTAAAATGTAAGTAACTACTATGAATGTTCCTGGTGAAAATTAGTTGTATGTGATATTCATTTAAATGCATATGACAAAGGCCATTAAAGGTCAATAGTAAAATGTATCATTGACAACATGAATATGCTTGTTGTCAAAAAACAAAATTTAATTTTACAACTATTAACGTTCCTTTGCAAGAGTATTATTTAATCGTTTATTATTTAATAAGTATAAGAATTCAACCCATACTTAAATTAAATTAAATAAATTGAAAAATGTAATCATTTATTGCAGTATAATATTTGGTACAAATTGAAGTAATGAAAAATTACTAAAATTTTTTTTATAGATTACAGTATGACTAATGTGAGATACTATTCGTGACTATAATACTTCACTCCTTTTTTATTCTACCATATTGTATAGACGTAAATATTTAAGTAAAGAAATGCCGAAAATAACGTATTGCATCCAAGTAGTACTTTTAGAAATATCCAGTAGGCATTTATAGAATATTTAAAGCAGATTTAGTTGTTTACAAATACTTTTTAACACTATATTTGTATGACATTGTGCAACCTTTTAGTCCACATCATCTTTAAAAATAATATATTTGACATCCAAGTTCCAGAGTGACATTTCAATACTTGACACAAACGTTAACTTAATTGACTATATATAAATGATGGGTCGGGTGTTTTCTGCTGCATTAACAAAACAAACGGTAAATACATTATGCAGCCATCAGCCAACCACACTGCCATTTGATGTTGAAAGCCTATCGAACGATTCCCAATAAATTCTCTTTTGAAGTTTAGAATTGAAGTATAGAATAACGGAAGGGAGGAACTGTTGGTTGTTGGCCTAAACAGGCCGATACAAACCAACCAACAACAAATAAAAATCACTGACAGATCACTGGCCACGAGTCGACGGACCCAATGGTACGGCACAACTCCAAACATGTACATAATGACCTGGGCGCAGATAGTACCGGACACGACTACTATGGCTGTCGTAGGTCAAGCGACGAGAGGAGGATGGGTAAGGTACGTGGAGCTTGACCGGACTGCACATATAACTTTAGAACATCATCCATCTCAATAAAGAAATTAAAGATTTGAGTCTAATATTAATAAAAATACGTTTAGTATAAAATACTTCAAATATTAGGCAACATGATATTTTACAAAATTTCTTTTTTCTCAGAGACCTATTAAAGAGGGACTAAAAGAGCTACGTTCTCCCATTGTCTATGCTAAACTTATGTAGCACACAAAATCACCATAAAATTACTTTGATACTAAATGACGCGCTTTAAAAATATTAGACATAAAATTGTTTTCTAATAATACAAAAAATAATGTAATCAAATTTTTTTTAATGTACATAGATAAATTTAAGTAAGAAAAGTATACATAAATTATGTAAAAACTATAAAAACGTTAAAATTTTGAATCTTTTATACAAATAATTCATTAATCATAATAATATATGAGTTAACGTATTAAAACCATGATTTTACTAAAATATTTAACAATTTTCATTTAAACAGTTAGTTAATTATAAATATTTACAATTGTTTTATATTAGATTTAGTATAAACTATTTTATAAAACTTCATTAATACAACAAACATGAAAATTGTTTATGACATTATTATGACTATTATAAATTAAGAATAGGAACAGTTGTGAGAAATTAGAGCAATGAATCCGCAGAGCCCAGTGAAAACAAACTTGATCTAATGAAAAAAATATAATAAAATTATTTTATTATTAATAGTAAACGTAAAATAATAATAATACCAATTGTAGCTATGTTAAGTATTTTTTTCACCAGGCATTCTTTGTACTCCGGTTCTAAAATTGTTAAAAAATAGTAATTGTGTATGACTGTGTGGACTATCGTGTTAACGTGTATAATATTAATTTATCAATAAATAATAATTGTACTTCTATTAAGGAACAAAATTAAATTTTCCATCAATATGATCTTTTAAACATTAATCCAGATTTTCAATTAGATGTAATTATTTTTAAGGCTTATTCAGAACTTTGGTGAAGGCAAATAATTGACTCCACCAAAGTTGCTATTCTTAACTTCAGGACGATTGGTTAAAATGTTTAATTAGATTTATTGATTGAAAAAATTTTTCTTTTGAAAATTACATGTTGTTCAATAAACCCAACACTTTTGATTTATTTTATTAAAATTGTTTACATATCTTGTAAAAAATTAAGTATTGCAAAATGAGTTATTGGTTTTTTTTATTCATTTATTACTTACTTGTTATGGAAAAAAATCAAAATTCTGTTCCAGAAAATTTATTTATTAAGAATAATAAATTAATTAAATAAAATTTAACTATTGAAAAATAAACATTTTTAATCCATGATAAAAATACATTTTAACTAAGCAATAAATTTTTAATTTTTCATACCTGGATAAATTTTATAATGCCCCAATCAACTACAATCATCATTGCTTGATGATATACATATAAAAACGTTACTTGCTTTTTTTTCTTCCACAATACATAGAATACCTTAAAAAATATATCGAAAGAATAATATTTTTTTAATAAATATAATTATTATTATACAGGGCATAATTTAAGAATTTTTTTTACTATGCATATTGTATTTAATAAAGACGAACGCTAAAATGAAACGCAGTTGATGACATTGATTCTGTACTACAGAGATGAACTATTACAAGTATTATTTGAATATTGTAAACATTTGTTTTTGAAAATCGAAGTTCTTTATGTAATTGTTCCAGCCTTTGCTAAATCATAAAATAAAATAAAACATTGAATATAATGTTTTATTTAATTTAAATATGAAATACTTATAATAGACATCAGAGTGTGTCCAGAATTTTCTTTCATATTTGAAAAAGATCTTCTTCTTAAGTCCATATTCAAAAAAAGGAATTTAAGTGACCCTTTAATTAATATTGTCAACAATCTTCAGCGCTTACGATTTTCATCCAATCTAATGGCGTCCTCCTGAGGGTGCCAGAGTTAGTTTTGATCTAGTCTATCAACGTTCTCCCTCGGCTCATTTTCCCCTCAATTTTTCCTTCAATCATCATCTTCTCCAGAGTCGATCCATTACTTCTTATAATATTGAAAAAGATAACCAAACAAAAATTATTATTAAAACACGTTTTTAATTTAAAATTATTTTAGAAACTGAAAATTTACAAAAAAAAAAAAATGTTCTCGGCAACACAACATTTTTTCGAATCTATATAAATTATGTTTAAAAGCGCTTTTAGTTGTAGCCTGTTGTTTTTTATATTATATGTTACATTACCGTATCAAATAAGTCCAAGAACTTAGAAAAGTAAAACAACCAGCATGTATATACTCTCTAATCACATTTCAGTATAAAAACATTATTATTAAGTTTTCATTAAATTAAAAATGAAGTACTGAAATAAAATATATTACTTTTTTGGCAAGAATCGTTTCGCTGTAATTCATTTCAATACAATTGAATCGGTTGTCATTTTGAAACCATTATACAACAAAACGACTAATAAGTGAAATTTAAATGTTTAATTTTAGAAATTGGTAGATTATTCTAAAAGCAAAATTAACTCCTATTTCATTCATTATTCCTAATTAATAGTTTTATGATTTATAAGTATATATCATTAAGTATCTATTATAGCAATTCTATTATAGAAATTGATATTTAATAATTTATTATTGTAATTTGTTCAGAGAATTTATAAAAAATTATGAAGTAGTTATTACTTTTATGGTAAATGTGTATTAAAATTAAAGGGCTTGGCACAAAACTTTTTATATAATAATTTATTGTAAATTATGAATAAATGGTCTGCATAAAATTTTCATCCGAGTCAAAAATATACATTTATTATTCAATTTTTCGTGCTAATTTCAAGTCAGCAATTATATTTTTTCTATCACCAATAATTTTTGACATTATTACTAATTAGTTAAGAACTATAGGATATAATTGTAAGGAAAATAGTTCTGAATATTTCAATTGTATAATCTATTTAAACACCAAAAGTTACATAGAAATGATTAATATTTCTTTTGAAGTGATTTATTACGATAAAAAAATAATTCAAAACACAAAAACATTGTTTTTAAATTATTACAGATTTTGATTTTTAATATGTTAAAATTAATCATTGTAAAATATCATTTTTAACCTTACTTTAAATCATTTTAAAAAGTATAATTTGATCTATGAAAATTTATTTTTTTTAATCTAATGAATATTATAAAGAATAGATTTTTTAATTTAGGAGAGGCTAGTTTTTACAGGAGCAAATTGTTATAATTGTGGTAATTGTAATAACACTATGCAAATCATATATTTAATATATAAATTAATGTTTCAATATTTTCACAAAATATTGATCATACTTTACCAATAATAAAATTTATTCGTTTTTTATGTGTTTCTGTTTCATTTGTAAAATTTAGTAGATATTTGGCTTTTTAGTTTTCGAGACCGAAAATATAAGATGATATATTTTTGGTACTAAATATTTAGTCAATAGTTAATATTATTTTATTTGTCTATTCTGACAGTATATTTATAACATATAAACATTGTTTTTTTTATTAAATATAATAAAATTAGTATAATTAATTTAATTTAAATTGAAAATTTTCCTAACCAGAGGGACAATGTGTATAAATAAATATAAAGATGTCTTATCTAACAACTTATTTTTCGGAGGGCTCAATAAAATTGCATAAAATGACATTTTATTTTTCATATATTTAAATCTTGAGGCAAGTTAATTAATTCATAAAAAGTTGGGTTAATTTTAAAGAAAAATTTCTTAAAAAAAAGTTCTCTTCTAACTGAAATATATCAAAAAGTGTACTTATTTATTTTACATAACTAAAATACCTTGAATGTTAAAAAAAATTATTTTAGTTAATATTACTACCTTTCTACAATATTAGGCATAAATTAAACTAGTTATCTTAATGTAATGCCTTAATTGTTATTAAAAGAAAAAATAAATCAAGATTATCCAAATTTATATATATATATATATATTTCTTTTAAGGTTCTACGTGTCAATTAAATAAAGTATTATTTTAACAATAAAAAATAATACATGAGATTTAATAATGTTTATGCATAATTTAATAAAAAATATGATAAAGAACAACAATTTGCTTGAAGTGCTTAAAGAAGTATCCATGTTTTACAGTTGAGTTCTGACGTTTCGGACTCATTACAGAGTCCATCTTCAGAGTGATGGTTACTAGTCGGTGGCTGCAACTATACTATGGATACATCCTTAAGCATTTAAAGCAACAAGACAATCCAAGAAAGCTTTTTCACATTTATAAAAAGAACATCAAAGAAAACAAATAGTTGAGTACCAACGTAATGTTTTTCAATTAATATATATTAACACTAGAAAACATTTTTTCATTTAAATTAATAAATACTAATATTTACAAAGCTTCAAACATCTTAAAATCTATTTTATACTTAAAGTAACATATATATATATATATTTAAAATAATTAAAGGAATTTATCCAGTATATTTTTGATAAAAATATAATTTATTCTCAAATCTATGATTTTGTAATATAATATTTTGTAATTGATATATTATGTATTAGCAATAACTTTTCAAAAAAATATATTTACTACAGTTAAGTGGATGGATAATTTAGTATATTTGTATCTGAGTTACAATTTAAATTAACGCCTAAATTTAAACTGTAACATTGTTGTATACAATTAAACTAAAAAAAAATATGAAATTAATTAAAATTCTGGGTTAATAATTATTAATGGTGAATTAGTTATAATTAATTCACCATTTTTTAATTAATTTAACTTATATTAATTAGTCAATTAATGTAGGATATAAAATTAAGGCAAGTTTTAATTTCAAATAAAAATGTAATAGTAGCAGTATGATAATAAAAATTCTCAATCACATATTATAACTATAAAATTATCCATATATTGATTAAAGAATATTATACATAAGAAATAAGAATTAAAAAATTTTCAGAATGGCCCTTTAAATATCAATGATAAGCCAAAGAAAAAAAGGTCAACAGCTTTTTTTCCATGCTTTCTTTGAACTTATGGCATCTTAAAATAAAATATTGTAAAATATATAATCATAACTCAATATTTGTAGTTTTGTTCTTTAATACTAAGATTACCCCTATGAATTTTTGGAGGAGCTATTACCACTCCGAAACCAAACCTAACTCTCAAATACGGCACTGATTGTTAAATTATGAAAATAATATTGAAAACAAAGAGTGTATAATTTTATACAGAATAAGTATTCAATAAATTATCCTTAGACTTCATAAACATTTGAAAATTCTTACTAAAATTTACTAAAAGTTTTCATTAAAATTAAAAAAAGTTGGACTTTTAATTATTTAATAACGTAAAAATCAAGGTGTAAATTTGTTTAAATAATTTATTCTTAATAATGTAATAAAAAATTACTTAATTTTTTTTTGATTAATTAAGTAATTTTTATGAAAAAGTTAAAACTTTTTTTTATCTATGACTGTTTATTTTTTGATGTGTAGGCTTTTTTATAGAAGTTCCAAAACAAATAAAACATTAGTATATCTTGAGGTAAAGCAAAAGCCATTATAAATTTTGGGTAAGTACAATCAGTAGCCAAAAGAGAAGCGACTCCGTGTAATGCTGTGAGGACAAATTGAATCTGTAAAAAATATATATTTAGTTATTTAAGTAACATACTGATATAAAAATAAAGTATTCAATTAAATCTAGGCATCGAGTTTCAAAAAACTAATCTACGATAATGGAAAATGAATAAATTATTTTTCGAATAGCAAGATTAGAAAAACTAAACATGTTAGCACTGCGGTTTATGATTCCTTGAAAAGGATGAAAGTTCTCCTTGAAGAAGAAACTTTGCGGGCAATATATTTAATATGCTGGCCATATTATTTAAGTCACTGCAATCAAAACTTAGTTGCAGTGACGTATCTGGTGGGCTAAAAAAGGTAAGTCCCCCATTATTCCTGCTAAACCAAAAATATAAGTAAAAAATATAGGCTTTTGGTCTTATCCCACCATTAAAAAATCCAGGTTTATATTAGTTAGGATTTTCTATAGTAAGATGATATCACCAGTGAATGTGATCATTAGTGAATAACTACTGTTAATCATTGTAAGAAATTATATAATAATACCCATACTTCAATTTGATCATTTTATATACACGTAAGTTTACCAAAAGTAATGTAATTTTGTGATAAAATACCAAAAATTCGTACACAAATATAACATTTTTATCACTATTTATCAAATTTTCCTTTACATTGTAGTCGTTGAAAAATTTCAGTTCACGTATGTAAAAATGTGGGCATTCTTTTAAAGAGTGATGTTACCCTAAATACTTCAAAAATAGACTGTTTAGTTTTCATATTTTAATAGATTGTGCCCTGAAATTTTTCGTTAATTTTTTTTTTTTAAAGTATAATTTTTATTCCAAATTTTTACAAATTTTAAGAGATTTTTTTCATATTAATAAAAACAGTATTTTTGTAAGAAAATTTCCAAATAAGGTATTTCTTATAAATTTTGAATTATTAGGAAAAAAGTAATAATTATAACTTTAACATTAGAATTTAAATCAGATAAAAAAATTTAAAATGTCGTTCATAGATGTTACAAATATCATGTATATTGTATAATAAATACGTATTAACTTTAATTAGTAATAAATTAAATTAATAATAAATTTAATTAAATTTTATTACCAATTGTAGTTGAGTTAAATATTTTTTCCACCAAGCTTTCTTGTACTCTGGTTTCAAAACTGTTAAAAAGTAGTAGCTGTACATTATTGTATGAACTACCGAGTTAATAGATCCGAGAAATGCTAATTGGCCTCCTATATTGATAAGTTTATATTATTCACAGTATTTTTGATAATTGGTAAAAATTACTCAAAATAAGTATATTATGTATATTATTGTGTAAGATGGAAGATTTTTTATTTAATGGCCTACATTACTTCTCATTAATTTTTTCTTCTTCAAACATTGACGAGAAAAAACAGGATTATGTTTATTTATTTTATTATGTACATGTTTTAAAACTTCTAATATGCACTTGTTTAGAAACTCTTCTGTAAATTTATGGCTAATTTATAAACTATCATCAAATATTACAGAATTCTTATTTGAAAAAGTATTTTTAGTTTAAGGTTAATTTTTAAATTGGATTTGGATGTTTAGCATCAATGCCTTTTGCTATGATTTTTGCTTTTAAATTATAAATACAAGGTTATCCCAAAGTAGATTTTGGACTATACTTTTGGCAATTAAAAAAAAGAAAAGGTGTAATTTTTATAATTTTTGTAGGAATCAAAAACAAGAAATTTTACTGCTTTATACAGCGGCAATTAACTACTAGATACAGTCCAGTAGTTTATGGATAATAAAGCGATAAAATAACTATTTAGTTAAGAAAACTAATCATATAGTTTTTTTTTTTTTTTTATTAGACATAAAAGACCGCGGCAGCTCTGGCCATTGGTCTGTTAGTAAATTACATTATTATTATTATTATTATTACAATTTTTGCATAACATTTATACATACATATTTTATATATTATATATAAAAGTTATATTTCTTTATATAAAGTGGATTTTTTTAAGAAAATAAGTAATTTTTGAATTGCAGTTGGTTCAGGACTGAGGATTTCGTATAGGTGAGTGGTTCCGAGGGTTTCCATACGCATATAGTTTAATTAACTATAAATAATAGTTATCTACCTTTAATCAGTAATTTTAACCAGGTATAATAATTGGGCTAACTATATGAGTTAGTTCTTTTAGCTATGTAATTATTTTGTCACTATATTATCCATATCTTTAAAAATAATTTCCTGTAGCCCTTTAGAACACAAACCATTGTTTATTTTTTAACTACTCGAAAATCGTGTAGTCTTTGGGAAACTTGGTTTACAAGTTTGATAAAACTCATTTGTAAGCATGAAACATAAGATTTATTTTTGGAACACATATAAACTTTTTACAAGTTTTTGAGTTTATAACATATTATCAAAACTTACCTGGATAAAATTTTATGACAAGCCAACCAGCAGTTACCATCATTCCGTGATGATATACATGCAAGAACGTTACTTGACTTTGTTTTTTTCGTAATACAAAGAACACCTGAATAAAAATCAAATAAAAATTACAATTTTTTGTCTAATAATTTTTTTTTTTTAGCTTTGATGCGAAGCTGAGAAGGTATTAATTTTACAATGATGTGTTTTTTTTTTTGTGTCTGTGAACGCTCAATCTTAGCTCTCACTGGACCGATTTTGACGAACAATATGTAAAAATATCACAAATCGTATCCAGTCGAAGACATTACCCTCAAAAATTGAAAAAAATTCTCTCGTTTCCTGTAAACGGGGGAAATCCCCCCAAAAATTACAAATTTAAAAATCGCTAATTTTCGATATTTTTTCATTTTTTTTTACTTAAAATTGCCATAACTTTTTCACAAAAAATTAATTTTTTCAACTTAAATTTTGAAAGTGTTCCGGAAAGACTGACACTTTTATATATATCTTAAATTAAAGCTATTGTAATATACTTTAATTTGAAAAAAAAAAATTTGTCCTCTGGACTTGTCTTTGTGGTGAAAACGGACATCAAAGAAGAACGTACGATTTCCGTGAAAAAATTCTCGATTTTATATTTTATATTATTTAATTTATATTTTATATAACTTTTGGAAAAATGTATGGATCAATATTATTATTTTTTTATAATAAATATTTATATACCCCTTTCATCTGGTACGCTTTTTTTGTAAATCGGATCATATCCCTTTAACAATGGGGGTCAAAACTTTAAACATGCGTATTGTTACTAAGATATTTTCAATTTAATTTTTGAAAGTATTCCGGAAATACTGACACTTTTATATATATCTTAAATTAAAGCTTATGTAATATACTTTAATTTGAAAAAAAAAATTTGACCTCTGGATTTGTCTTCATGGTAAAAATGAATACCGTATTCAAAAATATGCTATTTTTGTGTTAAAATTCTGGGTTTTGTATTTTATTTTATTTTAAAATACCTGACAAGGGGAGTACAGATTTTCATAAATATTATATAAATAAAAAATTAATATAGCATAGAAAGTTAAACTTATTTAAACTTGTTTGCTTCTTTTAAGTCAAGAAAAATAACTTTGAAATTTGAACTAGCTGAAATAGCAAATTTTTTTACCCGACCGTAGCGACGTACGGTTGCCGAATTGGTAAAACTAATTTTTTACACTCTTGGGGTACGAGGTTCCAACCCGCCTATGGCAATGAATTTTTTGCATTTTTTCTTAATTCTTTTTAAGTTAGTATAAATTTTTAACTCGTTTGATTTTTATCTCATTTAGATTCAATAACTTCAATAAAGATCAAGGATCCCATCACTTTAGTCGCCCCTTGTATGAAGAAATTTCTTATTCGTATTAAAATTATGTTACTATATTTTTTTAAGTTTTAGCTTCGATGCAAAGCTGAGAAGATATTTTTTTGTGACTATCATTTATTTTCTCTGCTCTAACTTGACCTACTTTTTTCAACGATACGTCAAATGACTACAATTCGTATCTAGTTGAAGATATTACCCTCAAAAATTTTAAAAAAATTTTCAATTTATCAATTAAACAGTTAGCTATTCCATGTTCTCCATAAAGACAATTAAAATCATTAATTTCTAATGTTTTCAAAATATTTATTAACGAATGAAGTTTGATATAATAGGTTTCAACTTCAAAATTAAATCATTTTACTTTGTAATTTAATAAATTTTTTACTGTATTTGTGTGTGCTACTACTAGACTATAATATTACAAATTTTTTTGTAACATGTTGCTATATAAATCATTTCTAAAAAAATTAATTGTTTTTTCTTCTGAATTAACAATTGATTTTTACAAATATAATCAAATTTTATAATACGCCCAATTGAGTAAATCTTTTTAACAACTTTGTTTTGATTGGTTCAATTAGTTAAAATAAATCATTAAAATTAATTAAGTTTTCAATATTTCAAATGTAGAATCTTTTCAAACAACAAAAGTTACTAGGAAATTATTACTACTACTTTTATTTAAGTTATCTATTATCATCAAAATGAAAAAAAACGGTAGCACAGTGGGGTCGCGGCATAGTGGAGACATTGCATAGTAGGGTCCAGTATAGATTTAATCTGACAGTGATTAAAATCACTATCATAAGAAACGCTTCGATGCAAATCTGTAGATAGTGTTTAATTTTAAAAAATTGATGGATAATTGCAAAAGCAACATCAACTTCTATTAAAATAAAATACAAAACCCATAATTATCATACAAAAATAGTATATTTTTCAATATGGTA